AAAACAACGGGGTTTCAGCGAAATTCAAACTATTTTTGATAATTTCCCATCCTAGCATTTTTTCATCTTTGATATAGTCCGTGAAATAGCATGCCAATATAAATGATATTTATACCATGATATAGTGGTCATCCAATTAGAAAGTGCTCAAAATGCTCAAAATAAGGAAACGAAGTCTTCAGAAGAACTAAATCAGCCATTCAGCCAGTGTTTCATACGATTTTCATCCCTACCTAAATCTGTTACAGTGCCTCGGAGTACGGTTTTAGTCCCTACCTAAATCTGTTACAGTGCCTCGTAGTACGATTTTAGTCCCTACCTAAATCTGTTACAGTGCCTCGGAGTACGGTTTAAGTCCCTACCTAAATCTGTTACAGTGCCTCGGAATACGGTTTTAGTCCCTACCTAAATCTGTTACAGTGCCTCGGAGTACGGGTTTAGTCACTACCTAAATCTGTTACAGTGCCTCGGAGTACGGTTTTCGTCCCTACCTAAATCTGTTACAGTGCCTCGGAGTACGGTTTAAGTCCCTACCTAAATCTGTTACAGTGCCTCGGAGTACGGTTTTAATCCCTACCTAAATCTGTTACAGTGCCTCGGAGTAACTGAAATGGGTAATTGTTGACATATTTTTCGTTGGAGGAAATCTACAGATATCTAAATTTAGAAAAAAAAAGTGTAGTTTTAATAGATCTTGAAACGTGATTGCGGATTCATGATTGATATTGGATAAAAAAAAGCAGGGGGTGCTCCCGACCCGCTTCACCGGTTTGACTTGTAAACTAGCTCTTAGTAATACTATATATTAAATGATTTAGGTGCGTAAGTCCTCAGAACCTTTTACGTGTAACATCTGGAAATGTTTATATCTCCGGAAAATTTGACCTGAAACGTTATTGATAGATAAAAAAGATCTACATTACCTACCCGACAGTACGTTGTGACGTCAGGCCAATGGACAACAACCGGAAGTAAACTTCTGTATCAGGTGTTGTCACGGTTTTACCGTTTTCATTTATGCATATGTGTCAATGTTATTATATACATGGCATTGTGTGTTTGAGGTTGATTACAAATACTTTACAAATATACAAGTACTTATGCGTAGATACATTTCCCTGGTATCCGCTTCTTATGTCACGTTTGTAATCAGTGTCATTTTAACATTCAGTGGCAGGTGAATTTACGAAGTTTGTTTTCTGTTTTTGTTTTCTTGAATAAACTGGGTTGTTTGGTGCATAAGTACATTTGGTGAAGAACCACAACCCAATGATGTGTTTGTATATATAGACAGGCTGCTGAGATAAAGATCTATGGAGAAATGAGGCGTGAGCCAGACCTGTCTCGTACTTTGCATAGATTTACACCTACATGTAAAGTTAGCACGGAACTCGTTTTCGCTGTTTTAAATATTTTCTATACATACTTCAAAAGGACTCCCATATAAGATCAACTCACCGCCTCCAAAAGATAATCTCAAATGTGGTTTTGGAGGAATTCTATCTTAAGTGGTATTGAGGGCCGGTTATTACTGTATCCGTGTTGCACCTTTAATGACAGACGTAATATGTTTCTATTTCAAATGGTAAATGTAAATTCGATTGAAGGTTAGCGTACAACATAAAATATATTCTGGTCGTTGTAATGAAGTGTTGTAGTCATTTTTCCAGAATAAAAAATGTTCAGAACTTCAGAAATAGCAATAAAAATACATTCACACATAAAGCCGATAATACGTAGCAGCTATACATTTTACTTGAAATTAAACAAATGCCACTTGTGGAGGTTGCGTCGATTGAAAGTGAAAGAAACCGTCTGATGAGCTAGCTGTACGTGTTGACTGTGCACATTTGAAGGCAAGGCAATCATAAAACCTAAGAACTCGATTTGAAAACAGACCGTCCTTTACCGTACATTAAATTTACGTTCACTAGTAGAATGAAAATCAGGAGCACATTCTCCTTTAAAAGATATTTTATTTTTGAATGTAGAAAGCGTATTACATGTATTACATTACAAAGTCTTAATGTGCTAGGAATTAACGATTTCTCAAATAAGGTTAATCGACATCTTGGAATCACAAAATTATTTAGATTTCGTACATTGTAATTGCTAACATTAAGCACTCTGTTTGGCAGTATATCCTGTAAGTAAGAAGGGGTAAGATTATTTTGTATTTTATATAATGTTAACTTTCGAGTTTTCCGACGATTGCTTATGTTTCCCACCCAGTTTCGAAATACAAGCTTTGCCTACTTGCAAAAGCAGGAAGACCTGTCACAGTTCTAGCCGCTTCTAATTGTAATTTTTCTAGTTTTCACGAATCTGTACCATTACATTCATCAAATAGCTCGCAAGCGTATTCCAAAAGAGGTCTTATAAAACTGTATACCTTTCCGGTTGGGAACACATGTTTTAAGGTTCGATTGTACTTTAAAAAGTTTGTTGCTGGTCTCGAGAGACCAGCGTTGCTGACATTCATTTTGAATGGCTGTACGAATAATAGGTTTAAAATCAGTATATGATAGTTTGATATTTGTTTGTTCGAGATTTAACGCATTTTTTGCTTCTCTGTCAACAAATTCGTTGCTTTTAATTCCGAATGGCTCGGAATCCACAGTAAAGTAATTTTGGATTTTTTTAGGATACAAGATATTTGAAAAGTAAGGTTTTGTACGAGTGTGTTTTTAGGGTCTCGTAACTGTAAACGTTGTAGAACAGATATAGAGTCTGAACATTTTTTTTTTTAATGCGGTGTTCATCGATATGGTCGAGGGCCAAACCAATGGCGCATGCTTCGGCAGAAAAGATGGAGGCGCCGTCTGGTAATCGAACTGAAGTGCATGAATTAGCAGTACAGCAGGCTTCGGACATTTTCTAACTTTTGGAACCATCGTTGTAAAGTTGTGTATGAGAAGGGTAATTAGGAGGAGAGGGAAGTTACAACACGAGGCAGACATTGACTGTAGAAGTAGGTTGTCTGTTAACATTTTTTGATACATGTAACATTATTCTAGTTTGTGGGTGATTCCGTCCTGCCGTTTTGTTTTAATTTAAAGCTGTGGGTGTAAAAATGTTTGTACATGTATACCAGCAATATGGTTCAAGGTATGACATCACAAAAACACCCCAAAGGATATACAAAATTAACTAAAAGTGAAACATTTACAGTTTAAGTTCACGTTGAAAGCACAAATTGACATGACATTCTTATTCTTCAAATCCTACAACATTCAAATACATGTAATATACTATTATAGAGACATTGCAAATCCCAAACACAGTTGTTTAACTTTGTAAGTATATCCATGTTATATACACATAGTGATGGTCTGTGTTTGTAAATGTTTTAAGTAGTGTTGATCTGTAAATCTCTACTCAGTGTTGGTCAGTGTCTGTTTATTCATATATTTCAAACTATGTTGATAAATGTCTGAAAATATCTACACATTGTTGGTCAGTGTGGACTGTACATATATATATAGTGTTAGTCAGTATTTGAAAATGTTTTAAATAGCGTTGGTCAGTGTTTATAAATATCTACTTAGTGTTGGTCATTGTAAATAGTTTACTTAATCTTGCCGGAGGACCCTGTGGAAGATAAGCTTTGTAAAACAGTTTTTTTATCCTCAATAAATAAAGTTTAATATTATCATTTAATTTTGTCACTGGTGTTGGTCCGTGTGTGTAAATATCTTTATTGTGTAAATAGTGTTGTTCATCCTCTCTAAAAACTACCGACACTAAAACACCGAAGGACTAGAAGTGATTTGATTAACGTTTTCAAGATTGTGAAGAGGAAGTTTGATGAGAAAGTCACGTCAGACATATTTGTCTACGATAATAACGAAAGAACACGAGGACATAAATTTAAGCTGTATAAACAACGATGTAGTACAGAGCTAAGGAAAAACTCGTTCACGTTTAGGGTAGTTGATATCTGGAACGGTCTACCGGAATCGGTTGTAAATGCAGAAACCACGAAGGACTTTGAGATCCTGTTGGATAACCATCTGAAGGACACTATTTACAATTATTACTGATAATGGCTTTTAAAATAAATCTTTTGGGAAAGTTTATATATGTTAACCAGTGACAATATAATATTTTTATACTATGTTTTGTGATATGGACTTAGAGGCTTTCAGCCTGCGTCCATTATTTTTCAATTAAATTCAATTAAATTCAATTAAATATCTACAAACAGAGTAGCGTTAATCAGTTATTGTAAATATTAGTTACATGTACTGTATATGGTGTTAATTGCCACTATGAATATTTACATACTGTATTTGACCTGTAGTTGTCATTTCATCTTATTTACGAGCGTATTGTTTAACATACATTTGAGACCTAGGTAAGGAGGATTGGGGCGATTTACAGGTTACACCTGTTCGATCACGTCTATAACCCTAAGTACATAACGGAACATCCTGGTCATCACGTGACAGAATAAATTTACGTCATGCAGTGAAGGTGCGAGTAGAAATGTACTAGTTTGGAATTCCCTGTTTTCTATGTATATATATTCTAAATCTGCGTCTGTTTATGTACATATGTACCTGTGACATTCAAGTCGACAGGTGATATACGTCAGGTAAGTAAACAGCGCCATGTATCATCTCTAGGTATATACAGTGTAGAGTAAGGGCACGTATAGTAAGCACGTCCCTTACTTGTGTTAATTCTGCGCTATTCAGGCAGATATGCTGCCTAGGTATGCTTTGATAGTGCTCTGATTTGTAAATAACTTTGTTTGCATGTTGAGGAACTATTTGAATCTGACCTCATTTCAGTCGTGACGTCACAATGGTGATATATGATTCACGTCATATGATGAATCGTGAATACCATTGCTAATGCCTGTAAGCTTTGCTCTGTACTATAGTACTGTTAATACTGTAGCGATACATTAGACCGGGAACGAAATATTGAATAGAATGGTATTGTTACAATTACTTTTTTTTATGAAATAAGAATAGTTTCACTGTTATTTTTAGGCACGACGATTAGCCGACGTCGAACGATTGTATAGCCATGAGTATCATGCTTTTTGAGGGCGAGACGCATGCCGAGTTGTATGCCAAGTATCGACCTAAATATCCAGAAACACTGTACGAGACGATTGGGGAGTTCTGTCGTGCCCCCGGAGCCAGCGGAACGGGCGTGGCTGTAGACGTGGGGTGCGGCAGTGGGCAAGGCACCTTTCCTCTTTGTGAAATGTTCGACAGTGTGGTAGGCGTGGATATTAGCCAGAGTCAGATCGAACAGGCTATACGTCTCCAGGTAAAATAGTTCACCATATTGTATATATATGTAAATATAGACGAGGAGGTTATAACGTCTCCAGTGGGGAAATAGAAGGAAGTAAACTGGCAAAGGTCTCCACATAGTGCTAGATATGTGTGCTGCACACGTCCCGGAATAACGCTAAAAATGTGCTAGAGGATTTCGTTGATCCAGGCATATCTAGAACTAAAGATCATTCTATTTTTAAATGAATCTAAAAGTGTGACTGTAGGTAGCCAGGTAAATAACGAAGGATAGATGATCACATACAATGTATTTAAGTGTAAAGTTGGGTTACCCAAAGAAACCTAAAAGTATGTCCCCAAATGAATATGAAACTGCAGCTTATGTCGTCGCTAAATGAATATAGAAATGTACTGTAGGATTAACAATTCGTATGTCTCCAGGTAACTTGAAGTTATTTATTACCTTAATTACAAATTATTACAATCTTGTGATGTGTCTATGTACACTGTACGATATATTGCATTAATAGTCAATTTGTAGCGTACACATCAAACCAAATAAATGATATATTACATATATATCAATAACCAATATAAACATGTTCGCTTCCATTTGAATAATTGTATTTCACGTTTATTGACAATATGTATGAATTCGAAACAAAACCAGTGATGTACGAAAGTATTGCCGTTATTTCAATATTGTTTCTACTTTAGGGTCAGACGATATGATTATATTGATCGGAACAGATATGTTTGGCAATAAAACCAAAAAGATAAAATTTCACAAATATAAATTGAAAGCAGGACTGTGGTGTTCTGATCGTTGCCCAAACCCTTTTTTAATTAAAAAGGTAAACAACACATTGGTCCGGAAATCTGCTAAGTTTGTAATCTTAATTATCCTAAGCATGCTAAACGTCCGACTGATGTACAGCTGATGATGTTGTTTCAGAACTTCGATCAGAAGTATGACACAAACAAACTGAATTTCCGGGTCGGACCTGCAGAGGACCTGAGTTTCCGGGAAGACAACTCTGTTGATCTTGTGTCAGTTGCAGCTGCCATACACTGGCTAGATACAGAAAAGTTTTATAAGGAGGCTGACCGGATATTGAAACCCGGGGGGTCGCTCATCGTCTACACTTACGTCTTACCTGATCCAGACAAGGAAGAGGCTGGGGCGTTGGAAGCGCAGGTGTGTAGTCACGTGGTCATTTCACGTTTCCATCATAAACGGTCATATTGCGAACATTAAGATGGTAGCAAACTTTTAGCTGTCTAAAACAATGTTGACAAATCTTTTTCTAGTCAGCATACGATACAATGTATGACATGGACAATGTTCAATTATATGACAATATATTTCAGTGAATATCACGATTTTCTTTTGGGATATCATATGGACTTGTATTTCTACAATGTCTTTATCGATTTTATTGCTACATTTTGGTTAATTTCTGGCGGAACCTTATAATAATAATGATTTATGACGTCAAAACCAAAGAATGTGTTGCAAATGCATAATGGCACAAATTGTCATTTGATGCCGAGGAACCAATGACAGCAACTCTCCCCCTTTATGACAAAAGCTACAACATTAAATTTTTCACTTTAATTTTTACACATATACGATTTCTAGTCGCGTTTAACAAAAACATGTTAAAGAAGTTTGGATCGAGGCACAAAGTGACCGCCATCTTGTATCCAAGATGTATGCATATAACGCGCAAACCTCGTGAATTGGAACTTTTCGTCAGTTATCGGGATTTTTAAGAATCGTTATAGTACCTGTATAGACACAGAAAATATCAACACACCAATGGCAGTTGGCTATTGGTAAACAGAAGGGAAGTAACTCCCATCAAATAATAACAAGGAAGAGTAGTTGGCAAGTTGACTAGAATGCGGACTATTCTGAAATAGTTGATAACGTCATGTGTAGGTGAAATCCTGTATATACCAACATGCTGACGAAGTGTCACGTTTTCCATTTACAGTTCTATAAAGAGCACCTAAGCGAGTATGCAAGCAGTCGAATGTTTCCGAAACTAGAGGATTATAAACTTCCTTTTGATGATGAATACGGGTGAGTTGAAGTTGCACTTGATATTATCAATTTGTAAATGTTAAATTTTGCAAGTTTCTTGTATGATTTAAATTAGATGGTATACTGTATCAAGTTATTAATATCATGGGTACATTTTTATATTTGCCACAACAAAAGCTACCATTTGTAAGTGGCAACATTAAGCCACTATTGCCAGGTTTGTCCTTTGACCTTCACATGTTTGCTAACTGTGTTTTCACGTGACCTTCACCTCATAAGGGTTCGAACGCTGCCTGATGGTGTTTTGACCTCTAAATGTTTTTGACCTCACTGACATGTGTCTGTGATACACGTGACCCTGACCTCCAAAGGGTATAGACGATGCCTGATTGGTCCTTTAACTTCTACATGTTTTTGAACTGTCTATTTAGACATTTGTGACGTTGAACACAGATAGTGTCCCATTGGTCCGTTGACCTTTATCTGGCCGTGATCTGTATTTGTACTTGAACTTGACCTCCACAGTGTGCGGACGGTGCCGATGAACCACACCTTGACTGTCCACGAATATGTCGGGTTTATCACCACACTGTCTGCCAGTCAAACCTACCTCCAACACAATCCTTCCTCGGCTATATTCGACGATCTCACACAAAGGTACCGTATTGTATTGTATATTAACTTTGAAACCTCACAGGAAACATATGGAAAGTCGTTGATATACATCGTATTTTATGGCAAGGGGTACATTTTATGTTTCTCTTAAGATCCACAGTGCAAATAGTGAAATACCACTTTACCATAACGTTTCAAAGTATTTGCTTACGTTTCAATCTGACTCCGGTCGATATTTAAAATAGATGCATATTTTAACCCACAGGTTGTTAGACTTATACACAGATCCTGTCACCAAGGAGGAAATGGCCATGTACACAACATCGACTGTGACTCTACGGACGGGTCGTAAACCACTCTAACCCCGTTAACCCGGACATATAACACAGCTACAGCTGTGACTCTACGGACGGGTCGTAAACCACTCTAACCCCGTTAACCCGACATATAACACAGCTACAGCTGGCAACCTAGCCGACATTATGATCCAGAGGCCCAGCTCAGGGGAGATGTCCTATCTGACATATTTGGTTTGTGGTGGCTGTCTATATCACTCGTGTTAACAGTAGCTATGGGTGCCCGTATCATCGGAGAAAATTATAATAGATTGTAGTATGATAGATAGTTCATTCAAAAGTAAGAGTTGCTTTTCTTTTGAACAGGTTAGTTGTGCACAAAAAGAAAAACTAAAAAAATAGTTCGCGATTGTCCAATTGACTAGTCTGTACATTTAGCTGTGTTATTATACTATGTAAGCCACACCTGTAGTCTGTTAGAACCGAACAGGTATTTTAGTAGTCCCAGACCCAAGTTCCAAGAACCTATCTTGTCTGCGCACAAACTTAAACGTCAAGGTCGGATACAAGCTCAAACCACCTTTCCCCTGATTGGGTCGGTCCACGTGGCCTGATGACATGACGGGACTGGGTAATTGCCAAGTGATCTGTTCGTAATGTTTTGATTAGTTCAGTTCGACATGGATATAGTCCTAAACATATGGCCCATTAAATAAAGGTGCTCTTTTTCCTATTTCCATTTTTACGATATAACACATGTACTTTGACTGATCTATTAAATATGTCAAATTGCAAAGCTTCGACTTTCGTCAGAAACACATATCGGCACGTTACCACAAGGAGTTTTAATGAAAGTCCATTTCTTCTAAAGCTCACTTTCAATATTGTCTACCTCTTTGACGGGCAGCGCGAATGTTGCAATTTGGATAAACCCCTAATCGATCGGAATACAACAACGGTATTTGCGTAATAGATACAATCTTTTTTCGTAAAATAAACTGATATTTTGACAAATCAGAGAAGGTCCGAAAAATCTGAAAGACATCGACCATGTTGCCAAATCAACCAGGTCTAAAAATACTTAAACAGATAACCTCAACTGTCTAGCTAATCAGATGTATGCTTGTTTCACTGAATGATACCTTCCGATGCCTAATTGAATAATTAGAATGTTTGTTTTGATAATTGAACATTTTTCAATCATTTTATGATTGATTTAAAGCTTTTTATATATAATGAAGTTTGAGATGAAGGGCACGTTTAACATGATTCTCTTGCTTGATCTGAATATATATCAATTTATGAAGAAACATACCTGTTAACATGGGAGGTAACTCTTGCAGTTAGACGATAACTCTGTGTTAGCTAAGATAAGTATTGTAGATCTATTGTAGACCAATCAACAACGGAATACTGAAACATTGGACACTGAACATCCGTAATGCAACATTTAAAAAATATAGATGTAGTAATGAATGAGACAAAACTAATAGACGGTGCTAATGAATTTTATTTTTTCTGGAGATGTATTTGTACATTTAATCATATGTGCTGAAATCAACTGACCATTCAACGGCTTTATATGCAAGACCATGGTAGGGACAAATTGATTCCAGCACCTGTTAATGTGATCATGCTGTATTGTACCACCTAAAGCGCCGACAAGGACGGGTGAAACCTTTGTGGAGCCACGGGTAGTTGTGTTACTTTGTTTTATACGTGTATATTCCAGTGAATTATGTAATTTCTTTTGTGACGAATACCTCATAAGCAGTGCCCAGCTTGCTCTAGAGAGTAGGTCCAATTTGATGATGACTTTACCTGTGGACCTTACCTGTGGACCAATTTTTGTGTTGCATTGTTTGTTATCCTATTGCATGTTATCAAATAAATCATATTTTGAAGATATTTTGATTTTGAGATTTTGTTTGTGTGCCAATAAATGTTTGTCAGTGACCAGAAGATGAGTTTAGCGCAAAGATCGGAGCATGCGTTCAGCTCAGAGATCAGAAGACAGAGGATAGCTCAGGGTTCGCAAAAAGGGTATAGCTCACCAATCACCAGGTATTTGAAGTCCGGAGGATACTAGATTGGATGGTGTCTAGAAAATAGACGTTTATTAATAATATAGAAGTGATAAAGAGAGCAGAACAATGGACGTGTTTGGTTTGGTTTGGTTTAGTATTGTTTAACGTCCTATCAACAGCTATGGTCATAGAAGGACGGCCTCCAATGTGTGCAAGATGCAAGCGTGTAGTGTATGCGTGTGTGTTTTGGGAGGCTGCGATATGTTCGTGTTTGTCTCCTTGTGATAGCGCGGAACTGATGACGACTTTATAGTGCTACCTCACTGAAACATACTGCCTAAGACAACTAGCAGGACACCCAACCCGGTCACATTATACTGACAACGGGCGAACCAGTCATCCCACTCCAAATCTGCTGACCGTTAAGCAGGAGTAGAAATACCATTTTTACAGACATTGTTATGTCTCGGCCAGGGGACAGAACCGAAAGCCTTCCTCACAAGGGCGAACGCTAAGCTAAAGGCCAAAAGTGAGGCATTGTCAAGGGAGATATTAGGAAGAAGAAAGTTGTTAAGAAAGAAAAGATAAGATCCCAAATTTAGTCGCCACTTAGGATCATGCAATGGGGGCAGCAGTTACAATTTTTACGCCCTACCTGCAGGGACACGTGTTTGCGACCTAAGCTACAATCATTAAAACAGGTAGTGTTTGGATATTTCGTCATATTTGTTATCACCTTAATCTCTTTGAACTATGAATTCAGCCTGAGGGACCAGGTAGTGATTCCCTTTATTTTGTTAAGGACTGTTCTACCCTAAACCAAATAACTGTGTATACACCGTAGACTAATTCTACTGGTTTATATCCTCCATAAAAAGAAAGAAAAAAACCCATCCAACACAATTAAAGGAAATGTTACTAGCGTTCTAGGAATAAGGAACAGGTTAATCAAAGTTAGCAGGCATTGTCGAATATTGCTGACTTAGTATCAACCTTAAATATATCATCATTGGAATCGAATCATTCACTCATTGACCAAATGTTTGACTAACATGAAACTAAGTGTCAACTCGAACTGGAATATATAACAAATAGAATATGACCAGGTGCCTCGGAAAGATAGGCGTGTTTGCTTCATCGCACACATCGACTTTACTTGGATTTGATATATGTGGCTGGTGTACTCGCGATGACGCAAAAGACACTTAACCTTCCGGAACATCTGGTCTTATTGTCATTGTACTTTTGTTCAAGGGCCTCCATGGAAATATTTTCGTTGTCCATAGTTTGCCCTAGTTTTATCGATTGTGAGTTCAAATGACCTTTTTCAAACTTCGATGCACTCTTGGTGTTTGCTAGCGCATTATAATTTGTTTGCTTGCAAAGCTGTGTCATTCAAATAGATCATAAATACCATACAAAAACTGTTCAATACTTATATTTACGTTTTCTCTGCCTCTTATGTTCTTTTTTTAACCTATAATTTATATTTAAGATTAAAAATGCCCGCCTTATCGACAGTCCACACAATTTCGTTTGAACAGCGTATTTTCGCGTGCTGATTGGCAAACAAAGAAGTACTTTGAAATTTTAACAAACCCTTCAATTTTATTCCACAATTCAGTATCAATACAATTGCGTATGATATGTCTGTAGGGTAATTTAAGTTTATCAATAGAACTGAGCTGAAAGTTAGATTTGAAATTGTTTCGATTTTTTCCCGGAACAAATTTTGCGCAGGGACAAATACAGTGAATACCGTAAATACGACCTTGCCCTCAACGAGGAAGTTATTTTTGGAAGTTAATTCGCACTTTTCTCTTTGCTCATTTTGTGAAGAATCCAGGCGTGAATGTATTTGTTGATTGTATGGTAACCTGACAACAGTCGGTAGATTCTATAACAGACTCGTTATTTGACATGTCGTCAGAAACTGAGGAACCGTGGATCCGAGACGCGTGAAACTGATAGCGTTTGAAGTGAGTGATCTTGCGACGGAGCACAGGTTCGTTACAAATGTCTGAAATGTTTATGTGTGCTGTGACTCATATCAGTAGGTCTGTAACATATGCGTCAGTAGGTCTATAGAATATGTGTATTTCAGACATTTGTAACGAACCCCTGTTGATCAGTGCAGTGTAACAGACGATATTTCTGATAAATTGCATGAGCGTTAAAATTGTTTCCATTGCCGGCATTGGTGATTTCAACCGATGTGCATTTTGTACGATATTGCAAACCTTGGTCTTGTTTTCGTTGTAATAAAAGTGTTTTTTTTATTTTATTTTTTATTTTGCACATAAATTTACAATGACATTGTCAAATCTCACAATGCCCAGCGATATTTCAGCAGCCGTCATGTTTATTTCTATTGGATATTGTAGTTCCGGTCAGTGTTGTAATAATACGATAAGAATTGTGTCTCGTGATGCATGGTAATTAAAGTCCCATCAACGACACAGCTTTCAAAGAGGCTATATACATGTAGTGACAATGCCATGCAAATGTAAATATAAATGTTGTACTTGAGAAAATGATACAAATATATATACTTGAGTAAGTTATGTAAATGTATTTGTACTCCTCCCTACCCTCCATACAGTATACAATGCGAACGACAGTATGATAGAAACCTAACTGTCATTACGGACAGCATGGAGATGTATATGTCTGCAGATATCTGAAATTAGAACGAGTGGCTGCAAAACCTATCTCGTCCTCGAAACAGGTTTAAGACGGAGAAAAAGACTGTATCATTCGCCTGCCAGTTCGTTAAAACACTTGACGTCAGAGAAGATCTGGTCGTCCAACTTAATGATTGCCTTAGGAAGGGGTTGTTTTTAATCATTGTCATTATCTAGGGACTTTCCTCCAAAGTGAGCGTATCTCGTTGCTGAAGAACCTCGCTTTGAGGTCTGCATGATGTTTTAATTGCTAATTATGATTATTACGCTATTGTAGTTGTAACCAACTTTCGCTACGCGTATGTTTATTAAAGACTGCAATTCTGATTACATTGTTAGTTCAGTTGGCATTGTCACATATAAAGACTACCACATCACTGATATCCACGTTTTGATTTTGTGGCATGCTTCCAGTTAAGTCGGGGTTTAAAAGTACATTTCATCATAAAATATGAAAACACCATCATCGATTGCAGCATTTAGTACGTAAAATGGTGTTCTGTTTTTTCAGAAACATACCTGTATTTTCGCAAGTGTCGTATCTCGTATACGTTGATCTTAAAGGGCGGCAAAGATGTAGAAGTTCCGCCAATTTTCACCAAAATTAAATCAAGTACACTGTACACTTAATTTGTAAACACATATTTTACAGGGAACGAGCCATTCTTTTAGGATTTCCAATTAAAACGAAATTTTGAAATCATGTTAGTTTTCGTTTATATTTTAAACCGTTATATATAATCGTTTCTCTACCTAGATTTTAACAGAGTGCAAACATACAATGTATATTTCGTACAAAGTTATGTCTAAACACTAATGCAAACCGATATAGAACCGATATCTAGTATTTCAATGGGTGCAACAGATCAAACTTTGTTTTCTCTATGTCTGCTTTGTAGAACACACGGACGAAGCACCCCGATTCTTCAGGAGGCCCCCATACGTCGCCTTTTACGATACACATGCAGAGGGATACAGCAGGTCCCACCTATCGATAAAGAAACGATATAAAACCGATATAGAAGTTCATTATAATTAAGATTAAGACCTCAAGAACGGTACCGTCCAAACGTTCTATGACGTCATCAACGCTGTCGATGATATCCGACTGATGACAAGGCGAACTTTGAAATCATCAATTAATACGTATTTCGTTGTTATCTACATATATATAACGTAACACGTGTTCCAAAGATTAAGTGAGGAAGACTCGTCGTCGGCAAACCCGTGCAGGCTCGGGGAAATAAAAGGTCTGCTGTATCCCAATGAATGATCGTAAGGTGCGACAAATGTGGAGCATCCTGTTGAATCGGGGAATGGGACCTGCTGTATCCCACCGAATGATCGTAAGGTGCGACAAATGTGGAGCATCCTGTTGAATCGGGGAATGGGACCTGCTGTATCCCACCGAATGATCGTAAGGTGCGACAAATGTGGAGCATCCTGTTGAATCGGGGTGCTTCGTCCGTGTGTTCTACAAAGCAGACATGGAGAAAACAAAGTTTGATCTGTTACACCCATTGAAATACTAGATATCGGTTCTATATCGGTTCTATATCAGTTTGTATTAGTATTTTAGACACAACGATTATTTTTGTAGACCAGTACCCTACGGAAAAACGTTCAGTTTATATCACTGACTCAAGCAGCTGTTAAATTAGAAGTAACCCGTTAAAGTCGTAGATAATGTCTGATAATGTCTGTAATGTCTGATGTCTGATAATGTCTGTAATGTCTGATGTCTGATAATGTCCTTAATGTCTGATGTCTGATAATGTCTGTAATGTCTGATGTCTGATGATGTCTGATAATGTCTGATAATGTCTGTAGTCTGATAATGTCTGTAGTCTGATAATGTCTGATAATGTCTGATGTCTGATGATGTCTGATAATGTCTGATGTCTGATATGTCTGTAAGGTCTGATAATGTCTGATAATGTCTGATGTCTGATAATGTCTGATAATGGATGTAGTCTGATAATGTCTGTAATGTCTGATGTCTGATAATGTCTATAATGTCTGATGTCTGATGATGTCTGATAATGTCTGATAATGTCTGTAGTCTGATAATGTCTGTAATGTCTGATGTCTGATAATGTCTTTGTCTGATAATGTCTGATGTCTGATAATGTCTATAATGTCTGATGTCTGATGATGTCTGATAATGTCTGATGTCTGATAATGTCTTTGTCTGATA